TCATGGTATTTTTCGTCTAATAATACACTTGAAAAAATTACCCAGTTCTGATTGGCTTAAAAGGGGAGCAGTTTACTTGTAACGCCAAAGCAAATTTGAAACAGTCCACAAATTACAATGTAGATATCCAAAGTTACTACGAAGACACTCATGACTACCGATGGTAATAATCTGAGGTATTGCAAAGTTAACCCGAAGATATCCGAAGATAGCCGAAGGTAATCTGGACGTTTCCGAGCACTTCCAATGATAAACGAATATCATCCAAACATTCTGGAAAACCTCCAACAATCACCTGAACCTTTCTGAAGATTTCCGTTGATTTCCAAAGATTTGCGACGGTTGCCAAAGATCACCCGAAGCACACCGAAGGCTTTCGAACATTTTTTTTAAGGTTTGCAGATATTTTCGGAAATGTTCGAAGGTGTTGGAATACCAAACACACCGCAGACTGTGTAAGGAAACAAAGTGTAGACGAACTTAAATAGCATGTTTTCAAGTGTAGTATTAAGAAGTAATCACACGACTATTCTCATGCAATTTGGAATAAATAAGCACTTGTAAATTTTGTTAGCCTTTAAAAAATTTACTCGTGCATATTTATTCCAGATGGCACTCAAAATCATGTGATTACTTATAGAAATACATTAGATATAAATACTATTTTTATGAGGTACAAATAAATTATTATTGTTGTTGTTGTTATTGTTGTTACAATGCTTAGTAACAACACCATTCTGATTATTGTAGTGTCGTTTGGGGAAACCGTAATAAAACTCTTGCCACTTGAAACTTCAAAAACTACAAAATCGTGCTGCTGCTTCTTCTTATGATGCCAATGCAAACGACCCTCATTATAAGACTTGGCTGGAAATATTTCATCACAAATGAAGAATTGTTAACAATTATTGGACGAGGTTGAGCAAAATATCATGATTTGTCCGTGACGTGGCGAGCAAATCAGTTATATGCGAGACACCGACAAATCATGACATTTTGCTATTACTGAGTTCAATAATTGTTTTATCGTTTGTCCACCAAGTTTGTTTTCATATTTTTGAAAATTACTCTCTGACACCTCAGGAAGGTTGCACACAGGAGCATGGTTACAATCACGCATCAGCAGAATTTTATTAGTAGCAAAACACACTTAGACGGTACTACGCATCAGCAGACCATTTTTTAATTTGTAGGCAGTTATACGTCACGTGGTGAGCTCTCAGCCAATGGTTAGGAAGAAAAAAACTGTATCGAATGATAATATCAAGTAATAAAACATTTTGGTAAACCTACTTGCGTATGTTTACACCCAGTTGTCGTGGCAACGTCATGAATCGAGAACAATCCGTTTTAACATTTTAAAAGAATGTATCCGCGTACAGGTTAAATGAACAGCTGCTACAGCATATCAAACCCCGGGGGGAACTGTGTGAAAAGGGTAGAAATGCTCGTCTTCTCGCTTAGGGGTATACATCAAGGATTCTGGTCTCACTTAGGATTATGATGATCAAACGCCATCTCTTTAGGTGTACTCGAAGAAATAATAAAAGAAGCACTCTTATTTCCGTTTTTAGGCTCATTTTCAAATTTTCCGACGAGAATCCCCGACCTTTTCCAAGCTTTTTTTGGGGGAATCCTCCCCTTGGGATTTCAATTGAAAATATTACATCACTCTCGAGGCCCGTACTTCCGAACCTAATTTTGTCCAATTCGATCTGTGTGCACGTGCTATAAATCGAAGTTAAGGGGAAAACGAGGATCCGCAACTTACAGCGCGGACCGAGAAGACAAGGTTAGTAAGATAAGCTAAGACATTTTTATATATATCCCTACGTGTGTTTGACAGGTTCGGGATCAACTTCAGATTCTAGCTGGACGTATAGAAGCAAACAGACGCTAAATTGGCCAATCATAGCGCGCGTAGTGACTAAGGCATATATTTTATAATTAACACAGTTTTAATACCCGTTTTACTGTTCGATCCACTTTCTATCGCACTAATTATGGTAAATTTAACATTGGAATTTCAGGCCCTATACTCTGGAACTAAATTGACGACTCGATTTAAAAGACCTTAAATAATTGTACCTTTAAACATGAAGTTAAATTAGTACATATAAATCATCAAATATTTTCGCTCGCACGCGATTGGTCTAAACGAGCCACGTGACTGAATATTCCCTAGCTAAAACTGGGAATGCCCCAATTTTCAGAACTGCGCATTTCTTTCCTTGGACATTACCTGTTCCTCAAAGCTCACAAATCATCAAATATTTTCGCTCCCGCACGATTGGTCTAAACGAGTCACGCGACTGAATATTCCCCAAGTAAAACTGGGAATGCCACCATTTTCAAAACTGCGCATTTCATTCCTTGGACATTACCTGCTCTTCAAAGCTCACAGTTTTCTTCGAGCTTCGCTCGGAAAACTGTTCGCTTCTCAGAACAGATAATGTCCGCGGACAGACTATTCAGGCATATTTCGCGCCAAATGGAGGCTAAAAGAAAATAACCAAAAGAAAATACGCGCGCTGATTGGTTTAAGCAGGAAAATTAACGTAAGTAAAGTTGCATGACGTTTCGACGACTTCATGTCATTATTGTCGAATGAATAAATTAAAAATAACCAGAAGGCATATTTATAGTACTTAGGATGTGAGAAAACGCAAACGTTACATGAACACATTCATATTAAAAGTTTCGCGCGAATGGAATCCGCTTTTTCATTCATTCGACAATGATGATATGAAGTCGTCGAAACGTCATGTAACTTTATTTACGTTAATTTTCCTGCTTAAATGTTTTTCGAAATCGTTTTTGTATAAGAAGCTGATTGGTTTACTAGTAAAATCTTGTTTCTATCTAACAATCAGGTTATGAACTCGAGATTTCTATCACATCATAGAAATCGAGAGTGAATAATCTAATTGTTTTAGTAGGTTTCTAACTAAATTTCCTTTAATTTAAATAGCGATCATTTTTCAACGAAGTATTAAGAAGAAATCCACTAGCTAGAAGTTCGAGTAACAAGTGGTCAAAACTTTCGTACCGAAATGATGTACATAATATTGCAAACTTCTATGAGACTGTTTTAAATATTTGCACAAAAAAAATCATTGATAATAACACCAATTGTCGCAAACAAATTTTAAGCTCCTATGAAATACTTGAAAGTAGTTATTATTATTATTATTATTATTATTATTATTATCATTATTATCATTATTATTATTATTATTATTACTATTATTGAATTGTTGAAACTTACATTTCCCACGCGCGCTCGTCGGTTCCTTGAAACATTTTTGTTCTGTTTCCTTTCCTTTCGGTTCTTGAGAATTCTTGTTGTTGTTTATCATATGGCCTGCTCTGTGCTGGCAACATGACCCAACTCCTGGGTTCCTCAATGTCTCTCGCAAAAAATGGTGCTCTTATACCGTATGATAGAACAAGCTTTTTCAGTCGAGATGGCTGGATATTTGCCTCCATCTTCTTTTACGTAGCCCTAGACTACGTCCATTTAAATAAACAGACAAAAAAGAACTTGGCCAACATCCAGCCAACTTATGAAGGGACATGCTCTCCGTTCTCGCGACTCACTGAGTAACCGGACGCCTTGAAGAGATTATAATTTCCCCCTTGTCCCTCCCCCTCCCCCACACCCTACGCCGCTGTTGCTGCATGTGGCACGAGGACCGACACATGATTTGATTGATTAAATTCTTGGAAATTCAACGCTAGCTTCCTTATCATTCTCAGAAAACTGGTAACTGTTCGACCATCACAATGATACATTCGTTTTAAGTCCCCTCGTTAAAATCTTGGTAAGGTGGGTGCTATAATCGAACGGTTTCAGTTAGAAATCAACTTGCGTTACTAGCGGACGTAGCGAATAAGCGGCGCGGAGACCAGCGCGGATGAATGGACCCGCTGAGCTTTGGAGCTCTCGACAAGGCAGAGGAGAGAGAGCCTGGGAACGAGACGTAGCTCTCAGGAGACTAAGTACTAGAAAAGTGGCACGAAGACGCGTGAGACAGAAAACTCGAGAGAAAAGGTGAAGAACAGAAACGTTACTAAAATATTAGAAAAACGTTGTAATTTTTAATAGCTTTTCTTAATTCAATGTCCCTTCTTTTGTCTCAAAGCTTAAGGTTACCGAAAAAAGACATGGCAAGATGAATTAGCATCTCCCAGCGGATTGTTTTGGCTGCGTTTCCTCGCTGGATGGAGTTTTTTGGAAACACTGATTGCAGGTGATTGTTGAAGACAATGAAAGAAGTGTCGGCCATCTGTGAATGTTACTTTTGTGGTTTCTTGTCACCATTAATTTTAATGTGTGTAATATTCACCATCGCATTTAAGGCATGTGAGTTTTTGGGCGTTTGATAGTTTGTGCTTCTAAAATTCGGAGTAGACCTGTCGATTACTGTYAGCTAATGTGCAGCTCCATTGAGCTTTAAAAGTTTGCTTCTGATGAACCATCGCAATATTTGAGCAGAAAAAGATGATGCCTTTGTTGAATTTGGCTAATTGGTGGTTTGTTGGTGTGGTTTTTTCGCTTAGCAATGCTCCGCTTACCGGTAGGTTTATTTAGTTTAGTTTTCGCCACAAGACTTCATTCTCGAGCGTATCTAATCATGGATGCTATTCTTGTAAAATCTACCCGGTCTTTGTGTATAAAGGAAAGCGACATGATGCTTTCATCCTTTATTTATCAATTTAACCATTTGCTGTTTGATACAGAGTAAATAGCCATCCTTAATTTACGTTTCATGGTCATTGATGCCCCCTGGTTCTTGTGTTTGCTTGCAGAAGCGTCGATTAATATTTTGTTGGAAGTGGACAACCCTGTCAAGGTTCTTGTAAACACTTCAGTAGTGTACCTACGCTGGAACTATACCATTGCTGGCGATGAGGAATTTAAGGAGGTTGATTTCCATTTTGGTGCAGACAACGTGTACATTGGGTATATTGATACCCGTGGCCTTAAAGTTTCTTCAAAGTTCAAAGATCGTTTTAACTTGGAACGCCCAGGCACATTGATCATTTACAATGTGACTGCTTCAGATACAGGGATATATACAATTGCTGTCAAGACCAGGGAAGCAACAAAAGTGGAAAGCAGCGTCTATCTTGATGTCCTTGGTAAACTATAATTTATAATCATATAATTATTATTAAACCAAGAATCACACATATGCTAAGATAATTCTCATACTCTGATTGGCTATCAGTTCAACGTACATGTATGGTTGCTGTGATGTCACAAGTGCTTTTGAAACCCTTTAATGCATTCATCATGGTTGGCATACACCAAGAAAAACAAAAGCAATCAAATTTTTAGTATCATCTGTACTTAAGGTATCAGCAGTCGAGAGTTGATCACTTCCCTCAATTGATACCCTTGATGGACATTTCATTCAGTACTTGATCAACATCCCGATCGATGTTTGGTTGACATTCGATCAGCATTTGATCAGCAGTTGGTCGATAGTCTGCAGAGTGTCGACTGACTCGTATGCATTGATCGAAAATTAGACAACTGTTGAGCGACTGTCTCAAGACCAAGATGTCAATGGAGTGTCAATCAAGTGTTGATGAAGTGCCCATCAAGGGTATTGATTTGAGGGTATCAATCAACACTCAACTACAGTTGCCTTTAGTACAGATGATCCAATTTTTCAATATCCAGCCACTGATTTGCATCCTATTGAATGACAGCAGCTCTTGTTGTTTACTGGGCACCTACAGTACTGCTCAAAAGTAAGTTACCACCTCTCGTCTCGTTTCTCGTGAGACGAGTCTCGTTTCTCTTGAGACGTTTCTTGTTTCTCACAAGACGCATCTCGTTTCTCTTGAGAGTCACTGAAGCGTTAAGTATGGCATATATTACGCGTAAGAAACCAGTTATGTGTAACGATTGCTGCTCTGCAGTTCATTGTCAAATCGATGGAACCATCCAACATAAAATATGCATCAATTGTTTGCTCGATTCATATAGAACAAAGCTAATATCGAACATCGAACGTAACTACAAGTAGAGTTACATGTGTTTCAATTCTTGCGATCACAGGGGCAAAGAGTTGATTTTGCAAATCTTGCTCACTCTAAATGATTCAGTTACCTACATTCATGCTCAGTACGTGTCGACGAGTCTACAACATTAATGAACTTCATTGTTCTCCGAAACGTCAAGGCAAACACTAAAAACATTTCCAGTTCTATTTGACATAAATCGTTCATTCAAATGCCAAAATACTACATCTTTAAAGACAGGAGTTTTTATCAAGGTTTCTGAGATGCGCAGTTTACAATAGTTTGACATATTTCTGCCAGTGCAAGTTTTGTCTAGTGGTATGCGTCGACGAGTCAACAATATTAATGAACTTTATTGTTCTCCGAAACGTCAAGGCAAACACTAAAAATATGTCCAGTTCTATTTGGCATAAATTGTTCATTCAAATGCCAAAATACTATATCTTTGAAGACAGGAGTTTCTAATATTGTTTATGTGATGTGACGTTTACATTAAGTCAATGTTTTTGCAATGGAAAGTTCTGTTTAGCCGCAGTTGATTTAATACGCCAATGAAGTTTGTTTTGCAAAGCGTCGCAGCAAAAACATTGCCGGTTCTATTTGGTATAAATCGTTTTTTCAAATGGTACAATACTCTCTCTTTAGCCAATAGAATTTTGTTGCTCAACAGCGATGATTTTGAGCGGTATGTGGGTAAACATTTTATATATTGGTCGATAGAGCAGTTGAATTATAATTAGTCAAGGTTTCATGATCAAAGCTTGGTTTCGCATGTTCACAAGGTTGAATAAAATGTTATTCAAGGGTTCATGATCAAAGCGTGGTGTGGCATGTTTACAAGTGTGAATAAAAAGTTAGTCAAGATTTCATGTGCAAAGCAAGCGTTCACAAGTTTGAATAAAATAAGTTATTCGAATGTGAAGGGAAGTGATTTATGATCAAAGCGTGGTTTCGCGTGTTCACAACCTTTGAATAAAAAGTAGTCAAGGCTTCATGTGCAAAGTGTGTGTTCACAAGTTTGAATATTAAGTTATTCGACGGATCAGTTAGTGTCGTTTCGCATGGTCACAATCTTTGGATAAAAAGTTAGTCGAGTTTCCCGACAAATCAGTCAGACTAGTCAGGAGCAGTAGTTAACAAAACATTAACGGCGCTGCTGTGTTGACTTAGTGATCGCGATCATGGCTTTAACTTGCAACATGTAGATCGGGTGGCAAAACGCTGTACATGTTGTTTCATGGGCACTACATTTTGATTATCAACTGTAAGAATCATGTTTAGGGTTGAGAGCAAACCTTGTTTTAAGATCTTTACAATAAGAGAATTGATGCAACTGTAAAACATGTTTGTAAACACAAGTGACTGTCGCCAATGATTCAGATACCTTCAACTTTTATCATCGTGCATGTATTTACAAAAACTAAACGTTATAAAGCAAGTCTGGCTGGAATAAAAAAAGTTTGGACGATGTATATGAAACAATATTGGACGCTTGAGAATTTATAATACACACATGGTACACATGCATTGCTGATGAGAACGTAAATCATGTCTACCGTGCTAATCGATACGATACGATACAGACGTCTTATACACAAAACAGGTTTTGAATACCAACGAATGCGAAGTATTGGTACTTCCAGTACACTCGTGAGAAACGAGAACGTCTTGTTTCTCTTGAGACTCGTCTCGTTTCTTTTGAGACGAGTCTCGTGAGAAACGAGACACGTCTCGCGAGATGGTGGTAACTTACTTTTGAGTGGTACTGTATGGCAAGATACAGTTGTGAGGTAAATCTGAGCGTTCTGATTGGTTATTTCTTGGTTGCAATTTTGCAAGCCGTGTATTTTGTTTTAGAAAGTTGGTGAGTGCTGTATAATAAACTACTTACTAACCTACCTTGCTCAAGCTATACTGGGAAATATTGGCCCTCGGTTATTTTTGTGAGGACCTTGCTGTGCCCAGTCTGTACTGCCGTAACCTCGTGCCAATATTCCCCAGTAGGGCCCTCGTGTTTAGTTAGTAAATTAAGAGTTTGATTATTTTTGCAGTTGAGCCTGAGGTGTCAACACAGGAGTGTCCAAGTCCAGTAACTGAAGGAAGTAATGTAACTCTTCATTGTAATGCTTCTGGTAATCCTCCTCCAAGCATCACATGGATATGGCAAGACACTGGGGATGTTCTCACTCACAGAGAACTGCTTACTCTTACAGCTGTTAATCGTAGTCAAGCTGGCAGTTATCAGTGCCTTGCATCAAAT